TGGAGGGAGATGCTCGCCCAGACCGCCGCTTCTGCGTGAGGAAGCACAAGGTAAGGCGCTCGCCCCGAGCCCCCGAAATCGCCCGTCCGCCGCTTCTGCCGGCGGAAAACTTCGTAGGGATGAGGAGAAAGGCTGGAGCTGAGCGCCAGCGTTATGCAATAGCGTATGTGCCTGCCTGCGAACGGCTCCTGCATCCAATAACTTTCCTGACAGATAAGGAGAGAATATCCCGATACGCGACTTTCTTCTAGAAAAATGCCAGCGTTTCTTTGCCTGCTCCCCTTCCAGAGGTGCCTGGGAGGGGAGAGGGGCAGCTGGAGGATTTTTGGAGGATGCACGAAGTGCTTTGGTTTTTCACATGGCTGATGGCGAGGAACTACCGCTGCTTATTAACTTCAGCCGTCCTAATGAAGTGTCCGTACAGCGGCGATGGAGGAACACGGGATGTGTTCATCGCTGAACTTGCAGTACGGCACTTCATTAAAAGCCCAGCCAACCCAAAAATCCTCCTCGGGGACTGAAGCTGCCGCTATTCAGTGAAGTGTGCAGGGCTCTCCCGATTTAACACAGCCGAGTCCCCCATCACCATCACCGACCACACAGAAATCGGGGATGCCGTGGAAACGCCGTAGGAAGACGGGACAAAGGTAGCAGGGAGCCATCCCCAAAGTCACAGTCCTTGCATCGTGCAAGGCATCCCGGGCCCTGCAATCGCACCGTGCCTCCCTCGCTGCTAAAGCCCCGTGCCGTGACCTGGGCGCTGCTAATGCCATGTTTACGGAGTTACGGCAGCCAGGGGATGCAGGACTGCAGTTCCGTGGGATCTGCCCGGGGGAGGCGGGGGGATGGCCGGCCCCGGCTGAACAGGGACAGCTTGCGCTGCTGCGAGCGGGGAATTTATTCCCTGCTTATGTCACCGTCTCCCGAGGGCTCCGTCCCAAGGGAGCTGTGCCCCCCTCGCAGCCGCCAGTCGGAATAGGGAATGGAGCGCTTCGCTTTGACCTTGTGTGTCTAAGCAGCTTAAAATCCCGCACGGAGGAGAATTTAACTCATTAGCCTCTAAGACCGGGAAATCTGGGAAGACCTGTTTTTCCCAGCCTCGGAGAATCATTTCTTTTTCCCCCAGCTGAATGCTGGCAAGTGCTAAGGGAAGGCAAACCAGTCTGATATAAACTGGGAGTTCATTCCCTCCTCTTAAGTGGTGGATCGTGCTCGGATTTACCAGGCTGCCAGGGATGCTGCATGTATCAAGGTTAAAATCTGGCTTCTGGATGGAAAAAACTCCTAGCTAAAAATAATTAAATAAATAAATAAAAATAATCACATGATATGCAACTATGTCCTAGCCATGGACTGGCATTAATTTAATGTCAAATTCCAAGGCAACAGACCAATAGTAAAAATAGGAGATCAGGGAGAGGAATGGATCTCCTCACCCTTGGTGTGATGCCTCTTGGTGTTCCACCAGCCTGCCCCTGCCTGCCTGTCTGGACTACAATTATCTGTTCCCTCCGAGTACAAATAACAGTTCTAAGTTAAAAGCTGGGTTCTTCTCCTAGCATTAAAAATTCATATTTAGATGAGAATATCTCAGGGCTCAGGTATTACTAATTTATCACCTGGAGGGTGATACTCTGCTATACAGTGGTAGCATAGGGTCCCTGATTCCAGGAGAAATCCATAATGTAGATTGCTAATCCAGACTCAGACTGAATTGTTCTAATTCCAATTGTTCTAAAACAAAATTCCTGCCCCAGAGTTTAAGGTGCTGTTGTTTTGAAAGCATCCTCCCTTCACGTGATGGGGAAAGCTGATACTAAATCAGCTTTTTTTAAGGCCTTTTTGTTAGGATGTCACTATGCCCTTGATGAAAAATGTTTGTTCTTTAGGACTCCGTCATTATTAACGATGTGTGTTTTTAACAAGATGCTCGAGATAATTCTAATCCTGGATGGAATCAGAGCTTTTCCCTGGGACTGACACATAAAAATCCAGCTGGGTAGGAGCACCACAAGAGAAAGTGTTCAGTTCCTTACCAAGAGAGCCAGCACTCAGCATTCAATGCACCCTTCTATTAACTGAGCTCACAAACGAGGAGCTCGTAAGATCCTCGCTGCCTGTTCCCCCCGTTAACCACTGCACTGACAGAGCATTTCTGCACAAGGGGCACACACTGCATATTCTGTATTCTAATCTAGATCTAATTAACTCAGCCAGAGGAGCGGTGAGCTCAGTGCAGAGGAGCGCAGGGAAGGAGCCCACGAGTGCCCGAGTGCCGAGTCACGGAGCGCGCGTCACCTCCCAGAGCAGCCCCAGGCACCGCTGGCCACTGCCTGGGGACCCAAACACCCAAACTCAGCCAGGGACTGTGCACAAGGCAAGGAAATACCAACACTGATGTTTGCTTCTGCAGGATTTAAAAGCCAACCTAGCCATGCCATTCCTTTGCCGTGACTGATGGGGAAACCAGTCAGGGAAAGCTGTGAGCTTGCCAAAAATCCCTGCTAAAATCTAAGGATACCTGCACGGAGCTCTTGAGCTGTGATGTCTCAAGGCCATTCCTTATCCAAGCACAGGACAGGGAGAACTAGGGATGTATAGTCCCATAATTCACGCCCACTTGAAGAAATGACAGCAAATCTAGAATATCTTAGCCCATAAAAAATTCACGTGATTATCTGAACTAGCTATTAATAAAAAGCTCTTAAATTCTACTTTATGACAGGCACAGTTTAAAGAACTGCTGAAAATTTGTCTGAGATACTAAAAAACATGTAAGCAACAAATCTATTTTATAGCCCAGTACTCCCTTGTATTTTTACTAATCAGTTTGCAAATTAAATAGGCTTTCTGAAAATGAAATCATGAGCATATTTTGAGGAAAAAAATAATCTCAGAGTAGTAAATGCAGTGGGAGCTTCACATTCAGCCTCCTGAAAACTGGTGCTTGCTTAGAAAATCCTGAATAACCTCTGAACACACACAGGTACGACTCCCTGGGTATTGACACTCGATTTTAAATTGTCATTGACCACACAGAAATGTGCTCAGAGCATTCTGTTGTTGCAGTGGCACATCCCCATCTGAGGCTGTTTGCTCCAGTTTTACTGGGTTCAGGCAGAAAAGTGATCCCCTAATTCTCCTGGAACACTTCACCCTTTCATGCTTTTGCTCCGTGTCAGGGTGATCAGTGCCTGCAAACTGCTTCCCACTAACACACCCCAGCACGAGTCTCCCAGGCAAAGAGAACTGCATGTAAAAATAACAATTCAGTGATCAAACAGCAACATTTGGTGTCCTCTTGGCGTTTTTCTCCCCCTTTAGCGGCACAAGACACCAAGCCTGATTTTACTCCAGTTTTTCCAGCTAAATCCACTGGGTTTGATACAGAGCAGCACAGAGGAGTAAGGGCCATTTTCAAAGTCTGAATTAAACAGAGATGGACTAAAAAGACTGAAGACCTTCAAGTCTTGCTATGTTAAGGTGCAGATCCCAACTTCTAAATCATTACAACAGATTTCTGTCCTGGCAGGGAAGTGCCAGAGCTCTACCGTGTCCCTCTCCCCAGAGTTGCTGATTTCTGGTCTCAGACTCAGCCCATATCAAAAACAGTTGTTAAACATCTCAGAAACCCCAGCTTTAACTCGTGTTTGTGACATCCATGGGCAGCAGAAGCAGGTTGCTGCTGTTATTTTTGCCTGCCCATGATTGCTGGAGCAAGCCTATAAATAAAGCCCACGTAGTTACCGAATTAAACCAGTTTAAAAACAAAAGCAGAGGAAGCTCTTTCCATCTGGTCCGAGCGAGCAGGAATTGTCACAAGCTCACCAAAAAAACAAGGAGTTACTTGTTTGTGCTCTTGCCCACCTTCCCTGCTTGTTTTACAGCTGCCCTTCTCTCCTCTTCCATTTTTTTCTCCCAATTCTCATGTCAAGGCTGTGATTGCATTGCTTGGAACAATTTTGGTGAGGTCAAAGCTTATAAAGCCCAACCATGGTGTAAATGATATTTTAAAAGCTGGAACAGGGGCCCTCTGATGGCCAAGACAAACCCATTTAAGCAGGTGTGTGACTTCAGGACTGTATTTTAAAAGTTCATATCACAAGTAGTTTTGGTCTGGTTGGTTGCTTCCTGGGACAAGGAAGAAGAGGGGATTTAGTAAAATCCTTAATTTTGGTGTATTTATCTATAAATAAGCACAAAATCTACAACAAGCCCAAAGTCTCCTTCCAACCATTAGTAATTGGTTGTTCATACCCATTTTGTTATTATATTCATCATTCTCTCCTGCAAATAGAGAGGAGAATGAATGAGGAGATATCCAGTACAGAAATTTAACTTGTGGATCAGTTGAATACATTTCTGTGTATCAAGGCCATCGGCAAATAAAACACAGCCATATCTCTACGGAGCTGACAAAGAGACAGATAAAACATCCCACTGCTGGAGAGAGTAATTCAGCAGAAATTATGCTTGAACTGCCTGCTCACAGTGATAACACTGATCCCTTCTGGAGACTGAGCCTAAACTGCTGAATTCCAGAGCAATCCGTGTGGTTTGGTAGGTGACAAGAACGTGGTTCATTCCTGCATTCACAATTTGTAACAAAAGCACACAAAGCCACAAGAAAAGTGATGCAAATTTTCTGTCTGGTGGCCAGTTGTGGTGCCTTCCCCAGCCAAAAAATAACCTTGAGAGGGTCTTTAATTATTACTTTAATAATCTTCCTAATCATCCCTATGACAAACAGCCCATCCTAAACTCCAGAATCACAGAGTGGTTTGGGTTGGAAGGGCATTAAGGATTATCTCATTCCAGCCCCCTGCCATGAGCAAAGACACCAGGCTTATTTAAAAATCCTATTCCACATTATCCCAGTTCCACAACACCTGGGAGCAAGGTACTCTGCAATTCCACACTTTATTTGCGTCCCTCTTCATTCCCCACGCAGTTCTTCCCACATGGCACCAAAACTGTGTCCCTTGGAATGAGCAATTTCCATCAGCCCTGTCCCAGAGCCCTCCTGTTTGATGAGAACCTGGGATTTGGG